TTCCTGTCTCAGCCTCCCCAGCGCTAGGATTATACTGTACAGGCGAGTACCACGCCCAGGCCAGCACAGCATGCAGTACCAGGGGTGCAAATCACGTCCTTGTGCTTGCCAGTCAGGTGCATAGACTGCCAAGCTATCTCTCCAGTCCTGAAAACATATTTTAACATAATATGCTTTTATTACACTGGGGCATTCTGAGTAACCAGCCTTGTATTTTAATAGCTCTTCCCACAGAAGTCTTGTGATATTTTCATATTTCTGTCCAGTTTACATGAGTTTAGACAAAGCTAGCTGGTGCTACCTTATGTTCGACAGGGCTATTATTTATCATGTCTGATATGCCTAACAATCATCAAGGGCCGGGGAGATGGCTCAGTAGAATGAGCGCTTCCCTGGCAAGCACAAGGGTCTGAGTTCAATCCCCAGTTCCACAAAAAAAAAAAAAAAAAAAAAAAAAAAAAATCATCAAATATTGGTAAAAGACTATGGAGGAGTGGCCCTATTTCAGTGAAAGTTATTTGAATATTCCAATGGGCTTTTATATAAACCACTTCTTTAAGTGCCTAAGGTGCTTTTCTCAATGGGTAAATCATCAATAACAACAGAAGTAAACAAAGAGTTCCTATTACTCTTTTGTATGTGCTTATGGTATTGGGGACTGAATCTTGCACCTTTGCACTGAGCTACATCCCCAGTATCACTCTCTATTTTTGATTTTTAGATAGGCTCTCACTAAGTCACTAAGGCTGGACTTGAATTCGTGACCCTCCTGCCTCTGCCACTCAAAGTGCTAGGGTTACAGACAGCCACACTTGTGCCTGGCTCTACACCTTTAGAAATGTTTTTGAAGAAAAATATAAAGAAAAGGTAATCTTCAAACCAGTCGACTTCAGTAATACTAAATTAATTAATTAATATTTATAGAAATAATATTAACATAATGTAGTTGAATTGAAGATATATATAGATAGATAGATAGATAGATAGATAGATAGATATTTTTTCCATTTCTTTCTGAAACCCTCTGATTCTCACTTGGTCCAGGCAATAGGTGAAAGCACAATAATTTTTTAAGGTTTTGCAGGTTCCCTTGTGGTCCTGGTGCAAGGTAGCTAAGGAACCTAGACCCTTAAAAAGGTTTATCCCAAATCCCCTATTTTGGGATTTTTGTCTCCTCTGCTAGGGAAGGATTCGGCTGAGGGTAACTCGCATCCTACATAAGAAAACACCAGAGAATCCCCCAGAGAAATGGCACTGGGAGGGGGACAGAAACCAACTGGCCTTTCCTAAAGGGATCTACTAAATTCCACTACCAATCACCATTTACTTAATTCTTATATTTCTAGGTATCCTGCATAATTATACACATAATCTTACTTATTATTATTTTACATATTTGGTACAGCGTCGCACTATGCAGGTCAGACTCATATTGATCCTCCTAGGGCCGGCGTAGCATGTGGTGCCAGGGATGGAATCCCGGTCCCTGTGCTTGCCTAAGCAGGTGCTTAATCCACTGAGCTATCTCGTTGGCCCTACATAATCTCACTATTTTTGTTAACATTATATCTTTAGCAATAGAATTCTCTAATAGTTACTTGTTCTTTAGTGAAATATATCCCCTTTGGAAACAGAGGTTTCTCTCTTTTACCAGAACTCCTAATCAGCTTTCCAGGTAGGAAACAGCCATAGGGTGTATCATCAAATAGTACTGCTATAAAATTATATTTCAAATTACCTCTTAAAATATATGGAGAGTTAGCCACATGCTGACCTTGGAATTTAACTTCTACCTTCAGATTTTTGTAGCTTGCATACATTCTGTATCTCACTATGAAGGACCCATCCTTTCGGTCTAAAACCTGGACTCCAACGCGAGTGAACTGCTCATCTGGTGCTGAGATTTTAACCTGGAACACCTTTTCACCTGGAGAGGATGTGAACCTGTGATGGGAAAAGCCATGAGATAGAAAGATTGTTGTAAGCGACAAGTGCACAGTGAGCGTGCAGTCTGGTGTGTCATCCGTACGGCTCTCTCCCACACCCTTCCTGCTGTAGGCAGGAGCTGCGTCTCCGTGTTTTAGTGCCAGAATGAACAGAAGATTAGAAGTTTAAGGGAAAAAGATAAACACAGAGGATGACAGTGGCCAAGACAGCAGTACGATTTCATTTTAGACAACCACAAAGGGACATGTCAGAACTCTTCACCTGCATTAAGCTTAGAAATATGCGTTCCACTATAACAATATTCCCATCAGCCCACCAAGTATTTATCCTATGCCCATCAAATCTCTAAATCTGTGATCAAATGGTGTTTCCAGTGATGACTTAAAATGCCAGTATTATAAATCACACTCAGCCACGGGCAAAAATGCATAGACATCGTACCATCTCAGCGACAGTGGTGTTTTGGAGTGCATGATCTTGCTATCAAGATGGCATTTAGTTTCTCCAACTTTACTATCTTATAGCCAGATGGCAGAATTTATAACCTTCCTCTGCCTTGGACAATCTTTTTACTTCCAATATTGTTACCTATAAACTATACGTGGGTGGCACCCACCAAGAGTGAAAAATCATCAGAAGCAGGGCAAGTACAAGAACAAGTTTCAAAGTCTAATTTTAATGCATTGAATTCGCTGGAATGAATAACAAACTCCTGTTACAGTCATATATGGGAGATACACATATACTTTCATAGAACTTCATTTATCATTTCTAAGTTTCAGAACATACTGATCAGTTACCCTGAATTCAGCAACCCTGGAGTGCCACGCAGCAGATCACATCTCTAACAACTGGGCTTAAAAGTAGGGATAGAAACAGTATTTTCAGCAGAATGGAGAAACTTTGTTTTGTCCTAATAATGTGGGTATCCTTAGCAAGACAGCTAAAAGAAAAGCTATATTGTGTAATGTAATAGTATTTAACGTATTATTCAGAATTATTTCTAAAGCTACAGAGACAAATCGGGTCGGAGAAGGTTGACAGAACTAGTTGGGGATCGATCCAGTAACCGGAATGGTAAATGCTGTGGATATAATTCTGGGGCTGATTTAACTTGAAGGAAGAAAAGTGATATTTAGCTGCGATCCTGCTCCGGGACTCGCGTCCCGACTCACCTCCTCCCTGCCGCGTCCACCGCCTGAATGTAGAAGTAGCGGGCGGGCAGGACGACGTCCGCTTTCAGCCCGGGGCCCCATACTTCGCTCTTCTCTGGGCTCAGCTGCCCCTCTCCGCCGGCCTCGGCAAGCGCTGCAACAGTCCCCAGAAAAAAGCAGCAACGCTGCACAATGCTAAACATTTACAAGACAGACTCTGGAAATGACCCCCGATGAACAAGAGGGTGAGCAGCGCGGCGCGGTCACAGGGCGGCTGGCTGGGCTCCCAAGAACCGCCGAGCGAGCGGGGCAGGGCGCAGGAAGTCACCCTCGGCTGTCGGCAAGGCCAGGTGAAGGGATGCCACCAAGGCTCTACAGAAAGGGACAAGAACCCTGTTCCTCGGGACAGCGATGAACTTGTGTCACCCCAGCCGCCCGAACACCCTTTGCGGGCGAATCTGTCCCAGGCTCCGGCCCAGGTGCCCCGCGAGGGATTGGCTGCGCGTCGGCCCTGTTGAGTAAGGCTTTCTCCGAGTGGACGGCCGCGGCCCGCCCCGGGCTCCCTGGGATGTGTAGTTCTTGGGGTGCTGGCGGAAATCCTGCCAGCATTTTTTTTTTTTTTAACCATCTCTCGGCCAATCTTTACTTTTCGGTCACTGCTTTCGGGGAACAGATGCCCGAGAGAGGGACACGAAGGGTCTGGAGTCACAGCTAAGATTTTATGATTTTTTGCGTTAGGTGGTGGTGATGGTGGGGTCACCACATCCGCCTCTCGTGCAAAGCGCGGTCTAGAGGGAAGGACGGGCGAAAAGCGCAGTCGGTGATAGCCGATGACCGGTCGCCGGGCCCCGCAGTGCACGGCGCTGGCCCCGCGCGATCCGATGGCACAAGACGCCCGGGGCCCGGGCGCGTCGCGGGCGCGCGCTGCACGGGGTGACTGAGGCCGGGTACCGCGTTCTACCGCGGCCACAGCGACCAGACCTGGCTGCACCGCTCAAAGGTACAAAAGGGCGCGAGGCAGGGCCGAGGACACTGCCCGCTGTGCGCCCCGCTCCCCCGGCCCTCCGCGGGCACGGCGGGAGCCGCGCGTTCTCAGGTTCTCGGCGCCCCCACCCCCAGGGGCCCTGTTTTCCCCTGGGTCCTGTCGCGGCCCAATGGAGGCCACCGCGGGGTTGATGGCCCTATCAGAGCAGCTGTGAAGAGTTGGGCTGCCGGGGATAGAAGGGACCAGCGCTCTGGAAGACAAAGCTCGGTGTGGAGGCGCTCGGTGGATCTCGGGCACAATCCGGGCGGCGTCTCCTCGCGGGCTCGGAAAGGCCGGCTGCAGCGCTTGGGGCCCGACCCCGCTGTTCCGCGAGGGTCACGGGGTGCAGGACCTGGAGCCTCTCCGTGTCCCTACCGTTCCTTGCTTCTCCCAGGGCCCCGAAAACCAGACGGCCGAGTGACTTGGTGCGCCCAAGGGGGCCTGATCGGCGCCCAGGCTGAGGGGTTCTTTTTTATACTTCACCACTGCCATTAATGCGTTCCATGTGTTCATTCCGAAGTCGGAATGGGGCCCCCCCTCTCCTGCGGGGACCTAACTGTGCGCGTCGCACTCTGCAAAGCGCCTAGACCCCGGAGCGCCGGGTTCCTAGACCGGATTCACTCCGCCGCAAGGGCCCGGGGCGAGGGAGGGCTGGGCGGCCCAGCTGTTCTCGGCCGGTCCGGGGATTCGGGTCTTTGAGGCCGGGTGGTCGCCGCGGGTGGGCGGGGGCGGGGGGCCCAGCCGAGCTGCTTTCGGTCCGCGCCGCCGCCGCCTCAGCCAGGCTCTGAGCGGCTGGACCCGCCTGCGCCGGGGTCTGCTTCGCCCGCGGCCTCCAAGGCCGCTGGGCCGCGACTGCGCGCAGGAGGCGGTGGGGACTCTCCGGGACTCCCGCGGACCACAGATGATCCTGGTATTCCTTCCGAGACGGCTGGCTCTCCGAGGGTAGAGGGGGCACGGGTGGGAGCTGAGACCGAGACCCTGGAGGTGCGGGGAGGGGGTGGAGTGGGGGGATGGAGACGAGGCTGGGGTTTGAGTGCTTCTGATTCTGTCACCTACTTGTCCCTAAGTCTCAGGTGCCGTCTATGCAAAATATAGATTATAATATTTGTCCTATGTAGAAGATTTAAAAAAAAATATTAGTTCCCCAATAAACCTGATACTTGAGACTACAGATATAATCTAGGTGCATTTTGGCTTTATGCATGGTTTGTTTATTTTATAGAACAGTGCATTCAGTGACTTTTACAAATCATTCCTCTGTTGGTGCAGGTAAAGCTTGCCATTTTGTAAAATAAAGCTTCGTACACAACTAAGCAATACTTCTGTTGCCTGTGACTTAATAGGAATAAACCATTGAGTTGAGCAATCGTGTTATTAGTAAGCCTTAACCTAGCAACTCCACACTTGCTGGGATGGAGGCGTCTCAGTCAGTGCAACTGAGGGCTTCCAAAATGCCTGGCACGGGGTTACGAGACCTCGAGGACTAGGGGTGCAGTGATCGGAAATCAGATGTGCGGGAGGCAGGGGATGCGCGCGCGCAGGAGGCAAATAAATGTATAAACACACAGCATATGTGTAGGCGTGAAACCACACCCGGCTAAGACCTGTGCACCACACAGCAGAGCGTATGCAGGTGACCCGACCTCCTTCATTGAGCTGAGAAGCCTTGCTTAAGAAGTAACAGTGGAAAGATAATTGGGCATAAATCAGGGAGGCAGGCCAGTGTGCTGGAGCAGGAACCAGAAAGCCAAAATATAGTCTTGGAGGAGCGCGGGAAGGGGCAGTGGAAGGAGTGGAGATGAAGGGGCAGTTCTGAGCCTGGTCAGGAGCTGGTCGTCTCTTCCTGGGGCAGAGGATTTTAAGCTGGGACGTGATATGTGTGTTCATGGGGAGCAGGAGGTGCCCAGCAGGCTGTTTCCTAACGTGCAGCGGTCAAATGAGAAATGTGAACGTGTTGGGGTGGGTGGCATGGGACTGAGAAGGTTTGTATTTACAGAGTCAGAAGGAGATAGGAGATGGGACAGTAGGAGTGACAGCTGCAGGCCTGGCCTGGTGGAGGGACAGTCTACCCTTCAGGGCACCTCATTGTTTCCGGAGGCTTTAATTGCATCACGAATGTGATAATGTCTGTAATGACTCTGGTATCTGTAACAGATTGTGCTTAGGTTGCATTGAGAGTTCTGGGGCCCTAGCAGGGTACCGGGACAAAGAGGGAGGAGCCTCTGGCTGGGTACCGCTTGGGTGAAGGTAGACGTGCAGCGCATACGCTGGGGAGAGAAAAGAAACACTGTCTGGGTCATGAATTTCACGTACTTTTAATTTTCTGCGGAACATGATTTGGTACTTGGCAATTTTTTCTATGTCCTATTTATATAATGAAAAACAATTACACAGATTTTCAAAGAAATTTACAGAAACAGTGGTTCAGATGAAAAGGTTTTGATACCTTTGGTTTTCGCTGGGAGTCCTTGTAAATTTTTATGTTGATGATCATCTTTTTAACATTTTTTAAATAAAACTGGTTGGGACCAATGTGACCGTTCTTGTTCAGTGACCATTATTTAATAGTAAACATCCCCAGACATTTAAAAAAAAGGGTACAGACTATGACACTTTTTAAAACCTTTTTTTGTCTTTTTGAGACAGTGTTTCACTAAGCAGTTTCAGGCTGGCCTTGAACTCACTTTGTAGTCCAGGCTGGTCACCACTTTACAGTGATCCAGGGTGCTGATGTTACAAGTGTGTGCCGCGAGGCCTGGTCACTGCTGCCCTCTTATTAATCAAGTGAAGTCTTTCTTGGCTTTAGTTTCCAGGAGGCTCGGTCCTGACTT